GTACTCTGAACAAACGAGGCTGACGCGGTTACGTCGTTATTAGTTAGCATCATTGCTAACTGTACTCTGTTGCTGTTTTTCCACTCTTATTTTGATGCAGAAAGTCCCACTGAACATGAAGGTTCGCCAGATTCTGCTTTTGACTGTCCAATCCTCCCCGCTTCTGACCCTTCCAGACCACACCAGCTCCGAGTACATCTACACCACCGGGCACATGCACGCCACCGGGCAACACGCAGCAGAGCGGCACCAAACAGCACCCGTTACTAGGTAAGAAGCAACAATCGTGTTTAACATCACATTGATCATGTTGATATGAATGTTGTTTTGTTTTTGTTGTAAAACACCTTGCATGTATTCAAACTACTTGTTTATTCAGTTGTAATGGATAAATGTTAAATTTAATTATTCATTTATTACTTAAACTTTCATTTATGAAGTTTATAATTGAAATTATACAGGGTGTAGTGATTTTTGTTCAGATTAACGATGCTCTGTTCTTTTTCTAAATTAGCACAACCGTTGTAAATGACTACATGTAGTTTATTTATGCCCACCTGCTTACTATCATTAAAGTACTAGACTGCTTTATGAACAGAATCATTTCTGATCTTGTGAACAAACACCTTTTGAAATTAGCAGGGACTTTAATGTAAATAATTTATTTAAAAACTCTACCTGTACTTCATCATCTAACAGCCATTTTCTTGTGTATTATTCCTAGGCAATAGAAAGCGCAGATCAACAAGTGCAGCAGAGAGCTTTGTTTCTGCACATACAGAACAAGAGGAGATGAACCGGAAGCAGAGAGAGGAACACTTCCATTTTATTTGTGAGGATGCCAAAAAAGCAAGGCAAGAAGAAGCTGCAGCAGCGAGGAAGCAGGAGAAATCCATTAGGAGGGAGGAGATGGCCTTGAGGAGAGAGGAAGCAGATGTTCGCAGAGAGGAAGCAGCACAGTGAAGGCAGGAGGCTGAACAGAGTGCTGCTTTCAGTCAGGCACTCCTTGGGGTGCTGGAATCCATTGCCCGTTCCATGGCAAACAGACATGTTTAAAAATATTTAGAGTAGATCATAGTTGATCTATAGAAATGTAGATCCTGCAAGGTAAGCCCACAAATAGCCAAACGTAGCTTGTTAAGTTTGCATATTTAATTAGTGTATAATTGTTTTTTTTGTACAGGTCTTTATTTCTAATAAAATAAACATTTTCAAGTCTTGAGCTTCCATCTGATCATCAAAAGTGAAGTGCTTACAGTGTTTTTTTACGTCAATAGTGTAGGATAAGTGAAGTAATTGTTTTTTACCTGTAACAATGCTGGTGAAGATTCTCAGTTATCCTTGACACGGCAAATCCCCCCCAAAACAGATAAAAACAAAACCACATGACTTTTTTTAAAACTCCAAAAAGTCCAGTATTTTTATTTATGTATTTTTTTTGGTTTTATCTGTAATGAGTACTGAAAAACGTAACCATAATACAGAATGTCCATGTGTTGTAAATGAACATTGCAGTGGAGTTAAAAAGGTGTAGGAATTGTGTAATCTACGTTTACAATCATCCTCATTCAGGAGGTTTTCAGTCATTGCATGTCAAACACCTCGGCCATGACGTCCATCCTGTGGATCCAGCAGCTTCTGCATCTTTTTCGCCCAAGGTCAAAAATTCTCTCCACGACTTTCACTGTGGTACAAAGGAGCACTAACTTAATATTACTAAACAGCACTTCAATCATGAAGATAATTTGTGACAGCTTAATTTAAAGAGCTGCGTGGTAAACATAAGCTCTGAAAGAGTTGTTAAATGTCAAATCAAATGTAGGTTATTAT